GGTCATGGTGTCTTGCTTTGGGTCATAATGTCTTGACGCCTTCCTTTTGAACATTATGAACGTTGAAAGGTCTTAGGAGTTTGTGCAGGGAGTCCGTTTGAACGTCTTGAGGTCTTCTTTATGATCATTATGAAGTCTTCTTGATGTCCTGGGCGCTCGTTTGAGCATCTGGAGGTTTTCGCATTTTTAGTAGGGCTTCCTTCTGAGCGCATTGAGGTCTTTCGTTTGAGCATTTTGATGTCTTCCTGTAGGCGTCCTGTTGAACACCTGGGGGCCTTCAGATCGTGAGCAGGGGTTTATTCAGAACATATTGATGTCTTCCTACATAGTGAGGTCTCTCGAGGTCCTTGGCTTCCGTTCGAACACCATGAGCCTCAGGATGTTCGAAAGGAAGCCAAGGATGTTCGAGGTCTTCGGATCTTGGGCAGGGTGCGAAGGGTGCCTGGAAACTCGATCTTGAAACTGTGCGACATTGATGCCTGTTCTCGGTGGTCCGAACCTAACCCTACTTCTCAGAAACCCTCGCACTCCCAACCAGCTCGCCCGTGCCCGATCGGCGCGCCTAGGTCAAGTGGGAGCCCTACGTCTGAAGAGTGCGCCCTGCCATGCGCCCTGCTTCTCTCGCCCGACCGACGACCCTCCCCGGGCGGATGCGAATGGGATAAATGACGGATATGATGGGGAGGATGATGAGGAGGAGGAGCAGGAGAATGAGGAGGAGGAGCAGGATGAGGATGGTGACTGATGCTGCAGCGGAGGAGCAGGAGGAAGAGGATGAGGGAGATGGGGCGGGTGAGGGCGATGCTGAGACGGCTGATGACGTTCCCAGAGGGGCGATGTTGGTCGGTGTCTCGAGCTGCGTCTGGCCATGGCAGCGAGGAATGTCATAGTGGGCCAGAAACCGAGTCAGAGGCCCAGTACATGTAGGGAGGCATCCCCCTTCTCCTCTGGGTTCCCCTTCTCCTCTGGGTCCCCCCTCCTCCCCCCTCTCCTCTCCCCCCTCAACCTCCGCCTGGAACCTCCTCCCTCCCACTCCCTCCTTCTCCCTCCTCCCCTCGCCTTGTAGCCTCCTCCTCCCCTCTCCGCCCTGTCCAGGGGGTCTGGAAGAAGCCTGACGTCACTCGAGGGGGGGTGCCGAGATGTGCCGAGACCCTGCGGCAACACGGTGACGCATGCAGATTTTCTTGCCAACTGATTTTTTTTTCGTGCGAACGGCTCCAAAATCAGGCGTGGAAAAGCGTGAATCAGGCGTGGGAACGCGTGATCTGGCGTTCCCCTGCAAACAATGTAAGACTGGTCTCTGGCCCCCCCTCCCTTCTGCCACCATTTGCCCTGCTCGACTTCTCAGCGCCCAGGGGGAGGGGGTCCGCTGCCATTCTTCAGCCCGATTGTCGTGGCTGCCCCGGGAACGCCATCGACGGCGCAGTTTCGTGCGCAAGCATGGGGCGAGCCGCGGCTGCGGCCTCCGCTGCGGCATCCAGCGCTGAGAAGACGAAGGCCGAGCAGAAGCTAGCGAAGCAGGCAGAGAAGCAAGCAAAGAAAGAGCAGAAAGCACAGAAAAAGAAAGAGAAGAAGCAACGCAAAAAAGAGCTGAAGAAAGAGAAAAAAAAACAGATGAAGGAAAAGGACGGTGGCATGCTTGAAGCTATGAGCGACGTGGCGAAGACCAACCCAAAGAAGCAAGCCTTGGTCTCTCCGATCACACCTTTGGACAGAGCGATAAAGCCTGCGTGCGAGGAGCTTCGGTCGGAAATTGCGATGCACTCCCACCTCCTGCCTCTCCCCCGCCTTGACCGACTGTGCCTTCTTCTCCTCGAGCTCATCCTCGTTCCTTGCACTCCATCCCACCTGTCCTCATCCCCTCGCTCGCCTCCCCTCTTCACTTTGGCGGCGCATCGAGGGGGTATGGGATGCGTCGGGGGAGGGGGGTCTGAAAGGCGGAATGGGGGTGGCGATAACAAGCCCCATGGGGGTCCCAAAAACTCAGCAGGTGCTTCTTAGATGCCCCATGGGGAATCTAAGAAGCACCCCATGCTTCGGCGAAGTTCTCAGCGCCCTCCCCCCCCCCATGCTGCCCTCGGCGCGCCGCCAAAGCCTGATGAGAAGGGGGTCCTGCGGCTCCATGTGGATGAGAAGAGAGATACCCCCCCCCCGAAGGAGTCGCCAGCCCCGTCCGTGGCCACGTCGATCGACGACGAGATGCGCACCGTCTTGCAGGATTTCTCTTACAGTCGGGGCGTTGACCTAAGGAACCCTAAATAAGGAACGAGGCTCCTTTTTTCCATAAGTTAAACTTCGATTTGCGATCGAAAACATAAGGAAAACCTGAGGCAAACTGCGAAACACTTAAGTAAATCGGAGCCCCTCCCCAACGAAAAGGGTTCCTTTTTCAAGGCCCCGACTGTTCTCTCCTACATGTCTCTACATTCCCCTGCCCATCTCGACCGCGCCACATGTCCGCTGCTCTCCCCCCAGGAGATGGCAAAGAGGACAGGGACGCCCATCACCGATTTGCTGGCGTCTCTGAGGGGTCTCAGCACAGACTCGTCGACCCGCGCCGGGACAGACGATGCCGACGAAGATGGTGAGGATTTGGCGTCGGAAGGAGATGATTCTGCGGGGTCAGATGGATACGATAAAGATGCTTCAAAGGAGAAGGATGAGGCAGATCAGGGTTCGAAGATCGCAGCGCCGCAGGAGAAGGCCGTGCGAGCGAAGGAAGCAGCAGCAGCACCGGAGGATGACGACGACCTTCCCACGAAGACAAAGGTCGAGGAACAGGGCGAAGTTTCAACGAAAATGAACGAAGTCACAGATAAAGCACAGGAGCACGACACGCCAGAGGCTGATACAAAGAAGGGCAATGCTGGCGCTGGCAAAAGCACGAAGACCAGTGATGATGATGCTGACGGTGGCACCGACGAAGAAGAGGATGAAGAGGAAAGTGAGGAGGCCGAGGACGAGGAAGACTCAGAGGAGGAGGAGGAGGCGCCAGAGGTGAAAAATAAAGTTGTGGGCAAAGCGCGGTGCAAAGTGCCCGCGCTGGCTGCCTCGCAGCTGATGGTTTCGAAGGCGGACCAGGGGCCAGATAAGAAAAAGAGAGCTAAAGATGAAGACGAGAAAGATATGCACCGCAGGAAGATGCGTTTTCATCGGTGGTTCACCTCGCCGAAGTATCCCAAAAGCCTGAAGGGTGAAGACAAAGAAGATGTGTTCAAGGTGTGGATGAATCATAATGAGGACAAAGCGAAAGTGCACATTACCTTCCTGAAGCGGCGAGTTCACCAGAAAAAGGCGGCCAGCGTCAAAGTGTTCATGAAACCCAGGGACCTTAAGAGTAAGCTCGGGTACACGGCCGAGAAGGTCAAAACAATAATTGCAGTGGCAAAGAAAGAAGGTACCTGGAGGAAGGACAAACTGTTCCCGAATGACGAGGAGGAGAACCGCTACCAGGTGGAGATCGACCCGACCTTGGAGGATATAGACATCGTCGAGAGTGGCATGGAGGCAAAGTGCACGGCCGACTTTGAGGGTGAGCGCGCCGAGGAGATGCTCGAGGGGTTGTTGGATGGCGAGGGCCACGAGGGCTGCGATCTCGGCGTCACCCCCAAAGAGGCGAAGGGCAAAGGCGAGCGAAAGAAGGCCGACAAGGATAAGGATGGCAACAAAGTAGTTGTTGCGCTGGAGCCCGCGGAGGCGGCGAAGACATTGATGAAAGAGATCACCACCAACCTGGGCGACGCAAGCAAGGCAAAGCAAAGGTTGAAGGATGAGCCCTTGGCCGAAGAAGCGAGTAAGCAGCTGGACGAGCACGTTAAGAAGATGGGCGGGATCTACGACACCCTGCGCACCAAGCTTTCTAAAGACGAGATCAACCTGGAAAAGGATTTCAGGGCCGAGAAGCTTTCCGTGGATGACATGCTGAAGTGGTACAAAGAGGTGTTCACGCCCGTGGCAAAAGCATTCGGGAAGCACCTCGACCCGAAGAAAAAGAAAATGACTGCTGTGGCTGAGGATGAACCCGACCCGAAGCGCAAGAAGGACAAGAACGGTGGCAAGACCGTCATGGGCAAGAAAAAGGACGAAAGTGAGGAGGACAGTGAAGACGAGGAGGAAGCAGAGGTTGAGGAGGCGCCGGCGCCCGCCCGGAAGATGAGGAAGAAGGACCAGACTTCCTTCTCTCACTCCCCCTCCTTCTCCTGCTCCTCGCCTCTCTTCCTCTCCCACTCCTCTGCCCCCTCTTCTGCCAGGATCGCAAATGAGGATGGAGGCCCTGGCGGGCCGTGCCAGCGCGACCAGACATGAGTCGCCGATGGCAGCGGCAAAAGCAGCAACAGCAGCAATATTTACAGCAGTTGCATCAGCAACCTCAGCACCAGCAGAAGCAGCTACAGCAGGAACAACAGCAACTGCAGCAATAGCAAAGCAACAGCAACAACGTCATTGAAAGCAACAGCAACAGCAAAGACAACCATGCAAACATCAGCAGCAGCAGCAACAACATAACCAACATCAGCAGCTGCATCAACAACAACAGCAGCGACGGCAATAGGAGCAGCGGCAGTGGCAGAAGGAACAAGGCAGCAGCAGCGGCAGGAGGAGCAACGGTCGCAACAACAACGCTGCACGGCTAGGGCACTAGGGCACTGTACTTCTGCAAAGACCCGCGGCTTGCGGGCGCGAGCTGATGACCATCGCTATCTTGCCGATCTCACGTTTGGGCTGTTGGGTCACCCCCAAGGAATTCTCGTCGCCGCAGCTGGGCCCGCCTCGAAAACCCCAATGGCATCGGGACACTTTGGGACTTCCAGGGGCTTCCTGGGCGCTGAACGCATGGGAAAAAGGAGAGGGGAGGACGAGATGAGGAGAGGATGGTGAGGGAGGGAAGGATGAGTGAGGTGAAGGAATGGATGGGGACTTCGGGCCAAGTGAGATGAGAAGAGGAGGGAGGAAGTGGTGGATGGGCGGAGGTATCATCCCTTTGCTGTTGCTGTCGTTTCCCTCGCTCTCTAACTCGGCGCCGCGCAGGTACGATGGGCCTGCCGAAGCTGTGTGACATCCGTCGCCCCAGCTGAATTATCATGCAGAAGCAGGGGCTGGTCAGACATTTGTGGGGGGAGAGTGAAAGAGAGCGAGAGAGAGAGAGAGAGAGAGAGAGAGAGAGAGAGAGAGAGAGAGAGAGAAACAAAGAGAACGGCAGGGAGACGGGGAACAATAGACAGAGAGTAGAGAGAGAGAGAGAGAACGAGGGGGAGGGAGAGAGAGGGACATGAACAGAGATAGAAGGATTAGTTGAAGAAGCTGCGCTGGCTGCCCACGTGTTTCCCTGACTATTTGAATTCCTCCTCCTGCCTTCCTACCATCCTTCTACTCCTCGTGCCTCCACCTCCTCCTCCTTCTCCTCCTCCTCCTCCCCCTCCTCCTCCCTCTTCATCCACCGTCCCGTCGCCCTCGCCCTCCTCCCATCCCTGCCTCCCCCCGCCGCCGTCCTCTTGCGTCTCACCCGTGTTCTCTTGTTTCTCAGCTTGCCCCGCGCCAGGTTACATGTCGAAGGCATGTTCGAGCCCCCCTCGGCCCAGCAAGAGGACCGCCGCACCTATCTTGCGTTCGTTTGCCAATCGGTCGAGGTCCTGATCTGACAACGTTGCAGCCGATAGGGCGGATGAGCGAGCATGTCTGCAGATATGCTTCTCGCACGCCACCACATTTGCTGCGACGTTGTCCGATCACGGGATGTCGATTGCCAAATGATCGCGCCCCTCTGACGAGGAAGTCACGGGAGCACCTCGACGAATTCTGTGATTTCGTCATGGAAGAGGTGGGTCAAGGGATGCCAATGGTGGTGGCAGCTCGGGCCTGCCGGAAGGTCAGGCGCATCGTCGGGGGGACAGGCCCGCGGGCCCGAAACCGATCCAAGAGAGAGGATGGGATGGGGTCGGAAGGAGGGGACGAGGATGGGCCCAGGAGGGGTGTAGAATATCAGCCGAAGCGCCCGACCCCCAGAATGCGCTGGTACTGAGCTCAACGATTACGCCAAGAGCGGGTGCAACGGCAAGTGGATATCGAATGTGGAGAGGGATATGCATGCAGCTTTCTCGAGGTGGAACCACAACGCGTTGGCCAATTACACTATCAAGCTGACATTGAAACCGAGGCGAGCTTAAGGGCGAACGTCAGAGCCTTGAGACCCCCCCCCCCCTTAGACGGCACCCCTGAAAAAATATAAAAACACCCTGATCAAATATGCCACTTAGATGGCACGCCTGAAAACATAACCCCCCCTTAAGGGATAAGGTTGGGGCCTTGCGATTCCTTCACACCCCTAACGAAGGAACAAGAGAACACCGTGCCCGACAGAAGTGGCAGTGCTATGTCCCCACGAATGGTTCTCCGCGGTTCTCGGGCCCCAAAGTGAAACGCCACTGCACTTGGCCTGCCCTGTCTGCACATGGCGCCATTATTCTTCCTCTCCGTCCTCGTCGCCTATCCGCCTGCCCCGTCCCTCCTCCTGGACCTCTTCCTCTGTGATCCTCCACGTCCTCCTTTTGTTTGCATCACGTGGCCGTTGTGCAAATGGGGTGGCCCTGGTGCAGATCACAGAACGAGTTTTCCTGCGCATGAGGTTTGGCACGCGGGCCCTTTGCAGCGGGACATCAGCCTCTTCGGCCGAGATGGGGCAGGGTCAATACCAGCTTTCTGGGAGCGAGCTGTCGATGCACCATCGTTCAAGGACTGCTGGGATAAAAAAGTTGGCCCCGCCCCATATCGGCCAGATGAGGCCCAACCCTACCAGGAACACCCTGCCGCCAAACTCAGCAAGGATGAGCTCGCACGTGTGATCCCAATTGGTTTGCACTTCGATGGGGCTGAAGTATACAACAATGCTGAATTCCTAACGTGGTCGATGCACGCCGTCACAGTGACTAACGGCAGCGTTTACGACAGGGTATTCCCGTGTGCCACATAGATGCTGATTGGGTCCAGGGCGCAGAACACATGAATATTATCAGTGGCGAAGTAGCAGCATTCTTTAAGTGGAGCCTGGATTGCATGTGGTCGGGGCTCTGGCCTGAGAAGGGTTTCACGGGCGAGGAATTTCCTGCTGGAACCATTCGGAAGCTGTATGCAGGTGAGCTTCTGGCAGACGGTTGGCGTGCCTCTGTAGTGGGCATGGAAGCGGACGCGAAAGCCCGGAAGGAGCTGCATGGTTTCAGGAGGTGGTATAAGTGCACCTTGCTCTGTGAGAAATGTCTGGCCCAGAACATGTTCCCGAAGGCAGACGCAGCAATGTCGTACATGAACTTTTCAGAGCAAGCTCCGTGGCGCTTGACACAGATGAGTCATTCAGTTTTCGTTGATTACGAACGGAGATTCGGATTTCTGAGTCCGTGGATGAGTCTGCTGGGTCTGACGCTCGACCAAATCTGGCGAGATTTTATGCACACGCTGCACCTAGGTATTCTTAGAGATTTCACGGCAAGTCTTATAGTGTTCTGGGTTATGAATGGGTCCCTGGAATCATGGCTTCAAAACGAAAGAGATATACTTTCTGATGGCAAGCCAGATGCACTCCGTCTTCTGTTCCTGGATTTCGAAACGTACATGAGCGATGCTGGGCTGCACGGTGAAAAACCAGGTTTTTATTGCTTTACGGTCTCTGCGCTTGGACTCGAACGCCTCAATTTAAACATTACGTTTCCGTGCATGTCTAGCCGCGTCAAAGCTGCCAGGATGAAGCACATCGTGTATTACCTCGCCCACGTTGCAAGCTCTATGAAAGCAGATACACTTGAGGAGACCTCATCCACCTCCTCTTCCTCATCCATCCTCCTTCGTTCTCTCTCTTGTCCCCCCTGCCCTACTCGCAACTTCAGCTCACCATCCCTTTCCCTCCCCCCTACTTGTCGGAGGAAGAAAACAGTTCAGGTTAGCTCTCTTGGCCCTCCTCCCTCCTCCTTCCTCGCCCCCCTCTGAGAGGGGGGAACCCTCGAGGAGGAGAGGATAGGCTGAGGGCCAAGAATGCTGACCTGTACTGTCCTGCTTCTCCCCCATCCCCAGCCGAAAGGAGAAAGCTGCTGTCACGTGCGCCTGGGCTGCAGCAGAGCATCTACACAGTCTAGACCGACAGGGGCTCTGGCTGGAGGATACTGAATCACCGACTTCTGCAGGGAATGCTTATCTGACGACTTACCACTACCTGGCCTGGCGAGCTTGGGGTAGAAACGAATTCCTGTGGAACACGAGGCCTAAAATGCATTACTTCGACCATACGGTCAAGGAGCTCCCTCGGTCGCAATTGAACCCCGCAAAAACTTCGTGCTTCCAGGGTGAGGATTTCCTCGGGAAGTTTAAGAAAGTAGGTAGGGCGACGCATCGGAAGCAAAGCTCCGCTAGGACCTTCCAGAGGTGGACTTCCTTCGTACAGAAACGTTGGAAGAAGCGTCGCAAGCTAGCGCAACACCGAATTCCCACTGTGGGCTGACAGCTGCTGCAACACTACGGCGAGAAAAAAAACATCAGCGGACGTGGGCCCGAGTGGGCCCTGAGTTCCCTCAGCACGTTCCTTCATCCCTTCCGCCGCCCCCAATCACCCCTTTTCTCCCTGCCTCCATGCCCCCTCCTTCCACGGTTCCTCCCCCTCCTCCTCCTCCTCCTCCTGCTCCCTCCTCATTTCGGTTCCTGGGAGAGCTGTTTGGGCCCGAAAGCTGTTGGGAAGGAACCTGTGGCACCGACCCCCCCCCCCCCACAGTTGCCATGGCAACGACTCTTCCGACGTGCGTTGAGGTCTGGATCCCCAACCTCCCTGCAGAGCAGGACAAAACTTCCATCTCCTTCGACGGGCCCGCGAAGGTAGTGTTTCGCAGGTGTTGGCACACATTAAAGAAAACCAAGCAACACATGCGGCCCTGGAGCCATCGGGGCCCCGGGGATTCCCACTAACCCTGTTTCTAGAGTTTGGACCCGCAGGGGCCAGGGGTGCGTGGCCGAGTCCGAGTTCAAGGCAGGCGATCGGATGACGGCGCCACCAAGCAAAAAGTTCAAGACCGTGAAGCAGTACGTAATCATGACGGACGACGACAACGAGCACGCCCTGCGCACGCCCACGGTTGCCGTGATTGGGGGTACGCCATACAACGAGTACGTCCCGCCCGACGCCACCGCTGGCGCTCCCGTGATGAGTCCCGTGGCGGTGCAGAAAGCCGAGAGTCCCGTGCATGTCGTCGAAGAAACTCAGGGCCCCGTGGCGCAGCAGCAGACCGAGAGCCCCGTGCAGCAGAAAGCCGAGATGACCGTGGTGCCGCAGAACGCCGAGAGTCCCGTGCAGCAGAAAGCGATGATGAGTCCCGTGGTGCCGCAGAAAGCCGAGAGTCCCGTGCAACCGAAAGCGATGAGTCCCGTGGTGCCGCAGAAATCGAAGAGTCCCGTGCCTAAGAAAGCCGAGAGTCCCATAGCGCAGAAAGCGAGACCCGTGCCGAAAGCTGAGAGCCCCGTGGACCCCGTGAAAGATGCGATCTCGAGGATCACGCCCGAGAAGGCGAACGTTCCCCACCTTCGGCGTTCTCATTCGGCAATCATGCCACCATCGGGGTGGATTCAGAACAAGAAGCAGGTGGGAGGGACGGAAAAAGAGAGAGAAGAGAGAAAGAGAGAGAGAGAGAGAGAAAGGGAGAACAAGAGCAGAGGGAAGGGATGTAGGAGAGGGAGGAGGAGGAAGAGGAGGAGAGAGAAGAAGAGGAGGAGAGAGAAAACGAGACAAGGAGAGAGGGAACGAGAGATAGAGAGCGAGAGCATGAGAGACAGCGGTGGAGAACAGAGAGAAGGAGAGAGAGGCAGAGACAGGGACAGAGAGAGAGAGAGAGAGAAAGAGCGAGCCTACAAGAAGCTCCCCCCCATCCACCTCCTCCTCCTCCTCATCGTCATCATCCTCCTCCTCCTCCTCCATCTCCTCCTCCTCCTCCTCCTCCTCCTCTCATCATCATCATCATCATCATCATCATCATCATCATCATCATCACCATCATCATCATCATCATCATCATCATCATCATCATCACCATCATCATCATCATCATCATCATCATCATCATCATCATCA